GAGGAAAGAGGAAAGAGGAAAGAGGAAAGAGGAAAGAGGAAAGAGGAAAGAGGAAAGAGGAAAGAGGAAAGAGGAAAGAGGAAAAACTAATAACCGAGGAACAAAATCAAAAGGAGCAATTGCGGCAGCAACTCATCAAAGTCTATCAGGCACGGACTAGGAATGAAGATTTACAAAAAACTCTCCGCACTTATGGAGAAATATCCCGGGAAGATGTGTCTACTGAACTAAGTAGACGAGAAAGAAAAAATGGCCAAAAGTAGTTTTCCAAGAAAAGGCGAAATTTGATTGTTAAGAAACCCCGAACGAATTAAAGAACTAGGCAAAGATTATCGTCCAGTCTTAATAATTAGTAACAATGAGCGGAATGAAATCAATTTAATTTTATATAAGTTTTGTTCTACAAAATCTCAATATTTTTGTTAAATTATAAAGATACTAATTATGAAAAGTCTATGGAAGTCCAAGAAATCCCAGCACAAAAAGAAACTCCCCACCAACCCCAAAAAAGAAACTTTGGCTTGCGGCTGAGTAGTATCTTTATAATCCCAAAAAAAAGCAAGATTAAAAAATTAGAATGAACTCACGAAGTATTGAAAGATTGGAAATCTGGGATCGATTACTAAGTAAAATTAAGCAATATGGCAATGAAAAGTAAAAAACCTACAAGAAATTCAAAAAAAACAATAGAAATAAAACCCGACCAAAAACGAGAAGGCAAAGCTTTTGGTTGTAGTGAAATATTTACCCTAGATAGCAAGGGAAAAGTTATTAAAAAAGAATGGAAGTGCGAGGAGATTAAGAATTGAAGAAAATGATAGAAAGATTTTTTGAATACTTAATCAATAAACTTTACTGAGAATTCCGCAAAGAAAACAACCTATCTTTTGGCACCTTTAATCCTGAACCAGTTATTAAATTTGGCAGCTTTTACCTGGAAGAACCCTACTGAAATGAGACCAAAAAACGAGTAGAAGTCCGCCGTGGTTGACACACCAGAGAACCTTTACTGAAAATGGGCGATATCCCCGTTTATACTCGCACCATTTATCTCAACGAATTATTTTTACATAAGCAAATGGGCTTGCAAGTTTTTTTTGGGAGTAAAGAGGAATTTGTGAAGTGATTTAACACAAAAAACCTAATTATGGTTATTTGTCATGAATTAGCCTATTTTAACGGATATTGATCCACAAAGTCAAAAGATAAATGGCGGTCATGGCAAAAAGCATGACGAATATACAGAAAAGTTGCGGCAATTATTAGTAAGTTTTCCGGAACATCAAGCATTAAAGAAATTTTGGAAATAAACAAACATTAGAGAATAGACTTTTTAGAAAAAATTACTTATAAATTTTGCTATGAAAAACGGCAATGAAAAAGCATAAAGCGACTGACGAATTACTAAAATCGCTAAAATATTAATATAAATAGAATATTTTAAGAATAAATAAAGAAATAAAACTATCATGAATAAGAATAATGTAATCAACGAGAAGTTTGTAGTGGTTGCAAAAATAAAAATAAATAAAGTGTGTTATTATGATTACTGACATAGACAAAGATAAATACTGAATATCCGAAGAATTATGCGGAGAAGAATGAAACGATACAATTAAAGAAAAAATCTGCAAAGAAGCAATAGAGAAACTTGAAAACTTGCACAAAGATATCGGTTTAGAGAGCGTTATTGATTTTAATGAAGAGATGAAAGAAAGCTATGCCAAAATTCTCGAAAAAAGTGAAAATAAACCAGAAATAGATGCTTACCGAGAAGGCCTTTTCATCGGCACTTTTGAAAAGATTCTAAACCGATTAATAATTAATGAATGAGATGCTAATGGCGGAAACTTCAAAGAGGACGACTCATGAGCCTACGCAAAAACAAAAGTTTTAAAAGTATTTAAAGAAAGTAATGAAGTGCTTGCTGAAATTCGCGATATAAATTACGTTTTAAGTGGATTTTACTTAACTTACCATCGAAATAAAGACAAAATTGACAATATTGTTGAATCTTATGAAAAAACTTTTCTTTCCCTGAATAAGAAAATAAATTGAGAAGAATTTAGAATCTGACTAGAAGAGAAAACAGAACATAAAAGAGGAATGGAAATGGCTCTTTGAAAAGCGGCTATTATTAAATTTGAGCGAGGAGAAATTGGTCTTGAATATTTTCTAAAACAAGAAGATGAAAAACTAAGCGAAATGTTTTTTACATTTAGGGAAGGCTTAAAAGAATGATTAAAAGAAACAGGAATTATCACTGATGACAGCAAAGAAAAAGAACCAGAAATTACTCCTTATAAGATTTCGGATAATGATGGGGAAGATGACGAGCAAAAAAAAAAAAAAAAAACAGTATGATTGAATGGACTTTTTTAACTGAAATTATAAATCTTTATAACGAACTCAAATCTGAAAGAGAGAAAATTCGGCAATTGAACAACGATTTAGGGAAAAAGTATAATTTGGAAACAACTGAAACCAGAGGGATAGAAACAGAAGAGGAAGAAATTATCGCAAAAAAAAGCGGTCCGGCTGATCCGGCCGAATTACAAAAGCGAATGAGTGATACGGAAGATTATTTAAACGAAATTAATTGAGGAGAGAACGAGGACGACAAGAAGGCTTGGGAAAGTTTTAAGGGTGGGTATTATGAAATTATTGGCATTTTTAACCAAGAAACGGAAAATTTAAATAACCAAATTACAGGTCTTAAAATCTTAAAAAAGACATTAATAACCTTAATGATACTGTTGCAAAACTGGAAGTCCAACTGACCGAAAAGGATACTGAAATAGAAGGATTGGAAAGGGACAAAAAGGGATTGCAGAATAAATTAGACACCGCTGATAATGAAAACAAAATTTTAACCAAAGAAAAAACTGATTTACAAACTGAAATCAACGGCAAAGCTGAAAAAATAACCGAGTTGGAAAAAGATAAAAATGATCTTAAAACTGAAAGAGATGCCAATGCTGAATTGGCTGTTAAACATGCTGGTGTATTAAAAAGTGTAGATAATCAATTTGATGTTTTTGACCTGGATGAGACGGGAGGTTTTGTTCTTAACGATACCAAAGTAAACAATCTAAAAGATATCGTTGCCGTTGCCCGAGCGTTAGGAATTTTGGGAGAAGGAAATATAGTGGACGAAGATAAAAAACAAAAAGTTATCAATGGTTTTGCTAGTTTTATCACCATTAACGGTGATTTTCCGGATATTTTTGATGGAAATGGAAAGTTAGTAGTTGAAAAATACAACAAATTAAGAGATGATGTGGATAAAAGAGATGAATATGAAGCAAAAATTAGAAGTTTTTCTGACCTGGAAGATGATGGGGAAATACCTGACAATTGAGAGGATAATGTTAAACTTTGAAAACAAGACTCTAATGAGGCTGACGCTGAAGCCGATAAAGTAAAGGCCACCAATGCCGAAATGATAAAGGCATTACAGAATGCCGAACAAGTGGTGCCAACCAGAGGTTTTTTAGAAACCGACGCAGAATATAATGCTCGGTTAGTTCAAAAAATTAAAGATTTAAAAAATAATAAAAATGACGAGACAGAACAAATTAAGGAAAAGTTCAAAGAGGCTTTGCAAAAAGCCCAAGAATTATTGGGTTTAACAACCGGAAAAAAGAGTCTCGTTGCCGCTACTAGCCCAAAATTTCGAACTTACACCGAAGCCAATAATGAATTTCTGAAAATAATAGAGGAAGTGGGGACGACTTATCTGGGACTTACTAATGAAGATTTTAACGACCTTAATTTTGTAAGAGAAGAACTTAACGATTATCCTCTTTTACTTTGAGATGAGTTTAAAAATGACACCATTTCTCGTTTAGATGAATTTCTTTCGGATTACGGGACAGTTAATGAGGAGGGTTTTAATTATAAAACCTTGATTGAGAATGTAAAGGATTTTAATTTTGCCGAAGTGTCAAGATTAGAAGATGAGTGAGCGAAATTAATTGCGGTTAGCCAAATTCAGTTTGAACTTCGGAAAGCCGGAATGAGACGAGAGGATTTGGAAAATGATTACAGTGAATTAGAAGGTGACGAGCCGATTGGTCCTGAAGTTAACCGAATAAGAAGAAAAGTTATTAAGGAAATTCATGAAAAAAAAACTGACCTGACGAAGGTTAAAAACGATAATGAAGCGTATCTAAATTCCTTCGTTCAAGCCACTGTGCCCGGAGATAGTGAAGCAGCCAGAAACGCAACTCTTGAAGAATGATTGGAAAATAATGCTATAGATTTTGCTCATGACGACCCTGATACTTGAAGAACATGATTCAAACAGGCAGGAGGTCTAGGAGATTTAGTTTATCGAGCCAAAAAAATTGTGGAAGGAGCTAAAGACCTACAATTAGACGCCGAACAAAACGAGCGTCAACGAGTCCAACGAGATTTAACGGCTGCTATAAGCGGCCTTGCTACTCGCACTAATGAGCGAGACGATGCTCGCACAGAACGCGACACCTTACAAACTACTCTTAATACTCGCACGACCGAGAGGGATACTGCTCTACGACAAAAAAACGACCTCCAAACCCAATTAAACACCGCCAATAACACTATCAACGGAGCCAAAAATCACCTCGGAGTAGGTGATTTAAATAATTTGCCAGACATGAGTGGCAATACACTTCAGCAAGCATTAAATAAAGCCAGACGAACGGATACGGCCGAAGCAGAAGTAGGCACTATGAGAACACAAAGAGACAATGCCATCACCGAAAGAAACACTTATAGGGCTGCATTAAGGGATGATGTGGGTTTTGACCCCGCAAATGCCAACTGACGAACTAATTTGCAAACTAAACTTAATGGTCGCAAAGTCAGTGAAGTTGCTACTAATTTAGATGATGTTTTAAATAGGGCCGCTCGAACCACTACTGCTGAAACATATCTCCAAAATGATTTGCGGATTGCCAATTTAACTAATTTACCCAATAATAATACCGGACAGAGTTTACAACAATTAATTGATTATTACTGATTAAATGATTTAGCCGCTGCCAAAAACTCGGCAGAAGGCAACTTGGATAACATTGTTTTGCGAGATGTGCCGGGTGGAAACAACAATGCAAAATATACTGCCTTGAAAGATTATTTGCGGGACCCTGCTCGGGGAAATCAAGGAACGACCTTTACAAATGCTCTAAATTGAAAGCAATGATTACAAGCTGCGAATGACATTTTGGAACTGAACCTCCGCGCACGGAGTATTTTGGAAGCAACCAAAATGTTAAATATGGTGGGGTTAATTGAGGCCTTTCGGGCCAGCCAAAATATCGGTCATAATGATTTGTATAACCAACTAGTAAATGACCATCAAATTATAGAGACAACTTGGCAAAATTATATTATCAATTCTCCGCCGGCTAATTTAGGGCAGCGGAAATTAAATACTTTAAATGCCTTAGCAGAACGAATTATTGCTGCTAACCCGCTAACTAACCAAAACCAAGTAAATAATTTGAAAACTCAATTGAACCAAGAAAAACAGGCCCATCAACAAACCAAAAATAAATTGGTGGCTATTCCTAGCGATTGACAACAGCAAATTGACGCGGCTAATGCGGCTAAACAAAAAGCAGAACAAGAAAGAGATAATAAAGAAAAACAAATTATTGAAAAATTTGTATCTGAGTTAAAACTGGAAAAAGAACCAAATGGTACTTTGGAAAAATTAATTCAAACCATTAAGGAGTTAATTAATAAGCCTGATTTACAAGGGACTTTGACGGCGGCTCAACAAAAAATTATTGAGTTAGAAAAAGAGTTAAAAGATAAAGAAAATATTCCCTTTGGAGAGGACTTAGAAAACATTAAAGATATTGATTTAAGAGAATTAGAAAGGATTTTGAAGATTAAGTTATCGGCCGAAATTGTTCGCCAAATGCGACAAGTTGCTAATTATCAACAATGGGCTGAAATTCGGAATACCGAAATAGCCAACTATCTTAACGGCCTTCAAAATAGTTCCCAATGAGAAAAAGTTGAGTTGGTTAGGCAGCAAAAAAACGAACGGATATTATTAATAGGCCTATTAGTAGCCAGTTTGCTAGCCATTGGAGGGTTAGCCATAAAAATTGCGGCCAAAAAAAGGGAATTGAGAAAATAGATCATAATATTTTGCCGGAGGCTAAAAATAGACGTAGGTACTTTCTCGGCCGAGAAAATCTCTGACGACTGCCTCAAAGACGCCCAAAATTGCACCTATTTCACCACAAAAAATGAATGTGGTAGCGGGAATAATCCGCAAAAAAAAATTGGATTATTCCTTAAAAGTTTTGGAATTTTTGCCTAAAAAAGGGGGTCGGATACTATATAAATTATTAGCAGGAGCCGCAAAAAGTTTAGAAAAAAGTCAGGAACAACCAGCCAATTTCTATCTCCAAAAAGTAGAAGTGAACCAAGGAAAAATCCAAAAAAATGACTTTCTTTTTGTGGATCCGCCTTATGACAGCGACAACGGCAATGGATTTACCTCTTATACAG